GAACTAGAAGCTGGTACACTAAGTAATACAGACAAGTGACATAATGCTCTCTCTCTCATTTGTGGCTCTTAGCTCCAAATCCTTATATATGAGTATCTTGGTGTAACCACAGGAGCCAGGAAAATGGAAAGGAATCATAAGGGTAAAGGGGGAAGAAGGAACCTGAGAGAGGGGACTAGAAGGAGACAGGTATTATCAAGGGTGAAATGGGGAAAAGGGGGGTACTTTAACTGGGGAGGGAGGAGAGATAAATAATGCTTAGGTGGTGTGGAAAACTAGAGGGAAATGTATTAATTCAAAAACTTACTAAAATATGTATAGAATATATGTATATGAGTGCATGTGTATAGCTGAAGGCTATATAGCAAGAAACACAGTGCCAGACAGGAGAAACTTCCCTTCAAGTTGTTGGTCAGAATAGTCCAAGGGACTCTCAGCACAGGCTATTGCCACAGCCTTTGAATGCCTCCCAGAACCTAAAGGTAAGACCCTATTTATAGGAAACCAGGATGGCATGCTCTAGGGTGAGATAAACCTAAAACTTTTTAAAGTTCAGGCTTCTCTGCTGAAGGGAGGGGCGCTGAAAAGATCAGTTCTCAGATCCCTGTCTTACAGAATATTGCAGGACTAGCAGTAGAAAAGTGGCTGGGTCCAACGTTTAAGCTCCTTGCTCTGAGGAAAGCATCTTGGTCAACAGCCCTTAGCCCACCTCCTTGTCTTGAACAAATAACTCAGCTATCACTAATTAAAAGCTTAAGCTGGGTTAAAGGTTTACTCTTGGGCTAAAAGTTTTACTTACTGCTGAAGACAGGACATACTTCAGACACAAGACTTGGGGCAATCGAGTTGTAACTGCTCCAGAAGCCTCCTCCCCGAAGACTAGCCCTCATAGTATCAGGGGATGCTATGCAAGCTGCTAAGGGAGAAAATCAATCAATGGTCCAGCCTGGATGTAAAACCTGATAGCCATAACAGTGACCAGTGCAGCAAACTATCTCTATTGGTGCAGTAGTGACACTTTTATCATGGGGGTAATCAACAGCTATTTAATTGGACTTAAGGCCTGCTCAATAGGAGGGAACTCATGTGTGGTACTGTAAACATAGCCAAATACACATGACTTGAGAGGTCACAGATCCTAAAGAAAAACCTACTCTTGTCACAGCCCTTGACAAACATAATTTCTTACTGTATGCTAAATATGTATCCTTATATTTACAGACAGGTATACCTCTTACCATTCATCAAAGAAACTTCTTTTCCCAACAGATGGAGACTATTACACAGTTCCACAATTGGTCAAACACAGAGAATAAGTGTCTGTGAGGTGCCCAGTCCTAAGTAACTCATCTACAATGCAACCTCTATACTAAGGCTCACAGAACACAGCAAAACAGGGGACAGAGAAAATACTAATGCATCTCTCAACCCTCACCAGCGAAGTTTCCTCATGCAACAGAGGGTAATTAACACAAAAAGCCACGATTGCCCAAAATGTAGAGAATAAGAGACTGTAAAGGTGTATCCCTGGACAGGACTCCTATATCAAATCTCTGCTACTCAGGGCTCAGGAACCCCTGCAGAAGAGGTGGTGGAAAGACTGTAAGAGCCAGGGGTGGTGGATGACCACAAAGAAGCAGAGTTTTCCAGGAGGCTGAGAACTTGCTTGTCAAACGACCCCCCAAGCCCACCAGGCTTGGGTCTTCAACAAGAAAGAAACCAAGACAAAAGTCTTGTGAAGTTATGTGATGAATTTATTCGAAGATAGATTATTACAATTAGGTGAGCAATCAAAGAATGGCTTTTTGTTGTGAGGAACACAGATCTTATATAGGAATCAGATCAGGGGTAACCAAGACATCACCAAGGATATTTTACTAACAGAAAGTAACTAAGGATGCGGCACGTAGAAGCATCACGTCACCATCACCCGATACTCACATGATAAGTACAGATACATAATGTTTATAATTTCTAGGATACAATGTGTATTGCCCATGATCACTCTTAGCAACTACCAAAATTCATGATTCTTATATAGAACCCAAGTGAATAGTGGTGAGAAACTCCAGTGCTCTAAAACTGAAACAATACTCTTTAGTTATGTTTCCAAAGTATTCAATTAATCAAGAAAGCATAGCCTGTCAGCTCAAGATGCTGAAGCAAAGAGCAGAGCAGCTCTTAAAGTGGCAGACTTCTTTTCCCCAATGCTTAAGTCAAGCATGGCTCCCAACATTTGCTCATATGAACTTACAGGAATGGTGACAGCATGCACAAGACCCATGAAAACTCAAATCAAACAAAAACCCAGCATAACCATGGGGAAATGGGTAACAAGTCCCAACTTAGCTGAGAAACTATGGGCAGCTGATCACTAATGGGTGATGCAGAGTTAGTCTTCTTTAAGGGAGTGATACTAGATAGGCTGGCCAAGTTGCAATGGCTGAACTCACACTGAGGGACATCTGGGGACACAAACTTGACTCACTAGACCTTAACACATATGACAGAATGCATAAAGTCCAGTGGAGGGGGCAGGCAGTGCAGATAGAGAGTGGGTCTTAATATGATTAAGATACATTATTATGTGAAATGCACAAAAATCAATAAAAATAACCTTAAAATACCTTTTTGATTTATTTTCAGTAAATGCTTGATTTGTATACTTTATACACACACACACACACACACACACACACACAGTCACATAAAAATTCCTCAGCTAATAAAAGGATCATAAGTGGAAAAAGTTTAAGTAGCCCTGGCTTAGGGATGGGGTGAGACTGTAGATTATTACAAATTGGCTAATTATATACAAATCAGATAATATAGTAGAAATCATTGACTTTTTCACTTGTCACAAGTGAATTCCATACATATGCATTACACCTCAATAAGCTCTGTCAAATAAAAAATCAGAATAGCATTTACTTGGGGCACTAAAGATGGAGCTGGAAGGTTACGGTTTTTCTGAGACACACATGAGATGAACCTTTGAGAGGGGCTGCCTGGGCTAATGTGTGCAGCTTCACTCATAGCTTTAAACAGCAAGGGGGCTGGGAATTATGTCACCTGAAAGTAAAGGAAGGAATTAGGGTGGGTGCTGACACAATTTAAGATTTTTTTTTTCCCTATACAATTCAAAAGTTTATTTGTCCTAAACAAACACAACCTGAAAGCATACATTTCCTAAACACTATTTTTCTCCCACAAAACAGCACATTTTGCAGTGTCTGTTGTCATGTCAGCCCAGCAGGGTGTTTACTCTGGGCTGGGCTATGCTGAGCTCAGCTGTGAGGGTAATTCAAGTGCTATTCTATTTGGGGCCTACAAATCATCTCCTATGGGTTTAAGTACTGATAGCTTGGTCCTGAGTATGCCAGTATTCAGGTAACATAACCTGTAAGAGGTGGGTCCAGTGGAAGATAAATCATGAGGTGCTGCCCTCATGAATGGTTTAACATTGTCTCACATTGTCAGGACTGGTAAGCGTGGATGAATTCCCTTGAGAATAGGTATTATGAAGAGGGCAGCCTGGCCTGAAGCTTATTTCATCATATGATCACCCTTGCATGTTGTTCCTGCCATGGGACATCATCTTCTATGAAGTCCCAGCACAACTGAGCAGAGGCTCGTTCTGTGTTCAGAACTGTGAGGTCTAAGCTAGCTCAGGGTGGCTGTCCATTGCTTTAAAACCATGTACCTCACCTTGCAGCTACCTCTCATTGGTAAGGGCCTCATCACTCCGGTGGGTGGAAAGCCCCAGGGCTATAATTTCATCTCACCTCACTCTTACCAGCTGTAGCCCTGAGTTGGTGGGCTGCCTCACCTGCACATCGGTCTAGCCTCATAGCCTGTAGCAGAGTGATGAAGGTCTGCTCTGCCTGTCTCCACACCTGTCAGTTCCAGGTTCACTGGCACAGGCCTCTTCTAGCTCTGGGTCTGGAAGCAGAATTGAGAGGGGGCTAATGAACCCTCGTTCACTGGTCCCAGCAGCAGGAAAGTCCCACAGGTGCTGAGCTGGAACACTATAAATGGCTTGTTCTGCTACAGGGGCAGAGACAGGAGGATCATCGGGGCTTGTTGGACAGCCAGCAAAGCCAAAAAACCGTGAGCTCCAGGTTCAGACAGAGACATACTAGGGTGTAGATGAAACAGATAAGTAAATTACACAGAAAATCACCAAATCCAAGTGTGAATTCTTTAAAAAGAACAACACAATTAGCAACTTTAAAATTTTTTACTTTTCTTTTTTTTGACACAGGTCTTATGTATTTCAAGAATAGCCTAGACCTCTATACGCTGGCAAAGATAATCTTCAACTCCTGACTCTCCTGTCTATACCTCCAGAGTGCTGGGATTATTTGTGTGCCGCCAGGCCTGGCTAATGACTCACAGGTTCCCAAAATTAAAGAGAGAGAGAGAGAGAGAGAGAGAGAGAGAGAGAGAGAGAGAAGAACTAAACTTTGAAATTAAATTAAATGCTGATTGTATAGAAATAAAAAGGATCATGAGATAACTATGAACAATTTTATGCCAACAAGTTGAATAATCTAGATAAAAAAGACAAAATACTAGAAAACGAAAATCTTTTCAATCTTGATTCACAAAGAAGTAAGTATCTGAAAGGACCTATATAATAATGGGATTAAATCAACAGTCAAAAACCTTCCAGGCATGGGGCTGGAGAGATGGCTCAGTGGTTAAGAGCACTGCCTGCTCTTGCAGAGTACCTGGGTTCGATTCCCAGGACCCACATGGAGGCTACGAACCGTCCTTAACTCCAGTTCCAGGGGAATTCAATGCCCTCTTCTGACCTCCGCGGCATCGCATGACACGGGTGCACTCACATACATGCAGGCAATACATTCGGACTCCTAAAATAAAAATATTAAGTAAAATATATTTTTTAAAAAATTCCAACCTAGAAAAGCATAGGACTGGATGACTTTACTGGTGAATTCTACCAAACACTTGAGAGGAATTAATGTTGATCCTTCTAAAAGCCTGCCAACAAATTCCAAACTAATATAGTGAGGCCAGAATCATCTTAATATAAAGATATTACAGATAAAGATATGATAAGAAAACTGCAAAAAAAATACTTTATCAATAGGGAAGCAAAAAATTAAAAAAATACTAGCAAACTGAGCATCATATTAAAAGGATTATCAGTCAAGACCAAGAGGAATTTGTTCCTGCAATGGAAAGATGATTCAGCATATGAAAATAACACAATGTAATAAACATTAACATTAACAGAACAAAAGGAAAAATACAGTCATTTCAACCACTACAGAAAATTATTTGATACAGCTTAGCACACTTTCATAACAAAATCCTCCCCTTAAGAAAACCCTTAATCTTATGCCATAAATTGTGCACACACTCTCACAACGAAAGCATCAAAACACCACTCTGTCTGAGTTGTCATGTGGTTTTTGTTGTTGTTGTTTGATCTAATTGTGATTTGCTTTTTCTGGTACTGGGAACTGAGCCGAGGGCCTTGCCTTGTTAGACACTCTACCTCTAAGCTATTCCCCAACACATATAATGTCTTTGAGATCCATATTGTCTCCCTTAAGTCTATTAAGGACATACTCAGTTTCTGGTTAAAGTGTTCATAATTGTTAATCTCATGTAAGTACTTATGTATCGTTTTGTCTGTTGCTAGTCTGAGTCTGTAATTTGATATTTTTGTGATTAGTATACACGTTTCTGTGTACTTTTAGATCTATGTTATGTTCATATGAAAGTTTCCCCACCCAAAAAAGGGATTTAGTTCAAATTGACCTCTAAATATGCAAGCTTATTCCAAATTCATAAAACTTAAACAAATCTAACATATTACAATTGTAAGGCAAAGGTTAATATGGCCCTATACAAGAAATGTCACCAGTAAAGTTAAATGTTAAACAAGGGTCTGGGGAGATGGGTCGGTAACAAAGTGTTTGCCGAGCAAGCATGAGAACCTGAATTTGATCCTCAGGACATATGTAAAAGCCCGACACAGAAGTACATACCTGCAATCCCAGCACTGTGGAGGAGAACACAGGAGGATCTCTTGAATTGATAGCCAACCTCTATAGCAGAATTGGCAAGCTTCGGTTTCAGTGAGCACATCTGTCTAAAAACATAGGGGGGAGATTGAGAAGATACTTTATGTCAACCTCTGGCCTCCACATACATGCACATCTAAGCACACACACATGTACACAGAAAAAAATCAAAATTAGAAATTGTTAAAGACAAGGTCTCACTATTTAGCTCAAGCTGGCCTGGAACTCACTATGTATACCAGACTGTCTGGTCTAGATGTACAGAAAGCATGTACACATGGACACAGAAAAGAAAAATTTAAAGACAGGGTCTCATTATGTAGATCCGACTCATCTGGAACTCACTATGTAGATCAGACTGGCCTAGAACTCAGAGAGATCTACCTGTCTCTACCTCCCAAGTGCTAGGATTAAAGGTATGCAGCACCACACTAATCCCAAAATAATTTTTAAAACCAGTAGAGGTGTACCAACGTCCCTAAAATATTATAAATATAATAATTGGTTGTTTTGTTTGTTTGAGACAGGGTCTCACTACATAACCCTGGCTGGCCTAGAACTCCCTATATAGACTAGGCTAGCCTCAAACTCACAGAGATCCTCTTGTTTCTGCCTCCTGAGTACTAAGCTTAAAGGTGTGTGCCACAATGCTTTTGCTTTTGAAAATTTTAACAAAATCAGACTAGAGAAATGAAAACCAGTCATTTTGTTTAGGAAGATTAAATAATAATAAAGACAGGAAAACATCTGGGTATTGAGGTATATATATATATCATATTACCTCACTGGAAAGTTCTAAGTACAAATAATATCAATAAAGTTTCTAGTAGAAGACTAGATTTTAAAAGAGAAAGTAAAAGGGGCTTGGGAAGCACATCAGAGTTAAAATAGAAGGGAGAAAAAAAGGCATACAAGATTCTTTGCAGAAGTGCCACAGCAGTACTGATCATTTTCCCCATATAAACACTAAAAGGATGGCCCAGAGTCCATGTGGAAGGAAGAAACAGCAGAAAATCCCTGAATATGGACAACAACAGATCTCACCTTCCACTCTGAGACAGGGTCTCTTACTGATCTCTGTGCTATAACTGGCCTGTGAGTTTCCAGAGATTCTTCAGAATCTGCCTGCCATCTTGCCCTAGGAATACTAGGATTACCCACTACTGTATTTGGCTTTGCAAGGGTTCTGGAGATCTGAACTCAGGTTCTCATGGTTACCCAGCAAGCGTTTTACTCATTGAGCCATCTTCCCAACCCCATGCCTGGTTTTTTGGGCCAGTTTTTAAAAACAGAAGTTGCTACTCCATTTTTCCCATGTTTGTTTGCTTTTTTTAATACAGGGTCTTATCACATAGCTCAGGCTAGCCTCAAACTCAACACGTATCCAAGGATGACCTTGAATTCTCCTGCCTCCACATTCCAAGTGCTGGGACTACAGGCATGTGCTACCATGCCCAGCTCCATTTTGCCTATGGGTTTTGTGTATGTGTATGTGTATGTGTACATGCACGTGCATGTGTGTGTGCAGGTGCGTGTGCCCATCCCCATGCATGCATAGATGCCAAAGGAGTACATCAGGTATCCTGCTCTACCACGCTCCACCTTATTCCCCTCACACAGGGTCCCTCAATCTAGAGCTAAACTGGCGCCAGCAAGCCCTGGCAATACTTCTATCGCTACCTCCTATACAGCTGGGCTTACAGGCACGCCACACAGCTATACTCAGTTTTTCTTACATGAGTGCTAGGGATATGAACTCAGGATCTCATATTTAGGCAGTCCTCCCTTTGCCTCTATTCTTATTTTTTTTAAAAAAATATTAGCCTTCACAGGGACAGACTGAAACAGCCTAAGGAAAATCAACTCAAGAGACATCAAATGTCACCAGAATATTACTGATCTTGTGAGTTTCCACATCATGGCTCTGTACTGGAATTCAAGTATGGCTTCTTGGAGTTGATGAACATCTTGAAAGAAATAGTGTATTTTCTATGCCGCAAATCTTAATTGTTATCAGATGCCCAAGAATAAATGACTGCAAAGCAACTGTTCCTTTATTTGACTATAAAAGTTATATATAATAGAAAAATCTACATTTAGTGATCATTCAAACAGTTCTGATAAAACACCTCAAATGTGTGTCAAATCCTCCATAGCAAGGAAGAACAGAGCAAAGAAAGGACAATGAAATTTGAGTTTTCTTGATAGACATAACACTCTTTTAGACAGAGGCTCTCAGAGAAGAAATGCATAATTCCATGAAAAGCTTGATCCCTTCTATTTTTCAAATCATGTCATCTCTTTTACAATGTTTTTCAAGTACATACATCTTTTTGCCAAATGAGGTAGAAAAGTTGTTGGTTGAATAATTCCCTGTACACAAGCAGTGTTTTCTGTGATCAGTAGTAATACCAAAGAATCAAAAGTAATTATTCTCTGAAACCAAGCAAAAAGAACATTTTAACTCTTTAATAAAACCATGGAGGCTGTAGGACACAGTATTTGAAAGGGATACAGGAAAGAAAGGGATACTCATGGTATATGCCATGAGTGCCTGTGACTAAGAATATTCACTGCTTTCACAGCCTCCAGACACTGAGACTAAGACTGGCCCTGCACATGGTAGTTACTGCACTAACTACAGGAAAGGCCGAGAAAGCCAATACTCTCAGCGATCAATAATGCTGTACTTACTCTGAAGAGAGGGAAAAAATTGGGAGGAATTTGCACCAAAAATTACATACACATCAGGATCCAAAGAACAAAGGATGGAGAATAAACAGAGTATAGGTTTCTTTGAGTAAACATCCCATCAAAGTTTTTGCTTTAAGCACATAAAATTATCAACACTGATTTTAGATTGGAGTCTGCTTCTGGTCTCAATTAGGAAATGGGAGAGAACTGAGTATTTCCTATCACAGTCAGGACTCATGTATATATTATGATCACTCAAACTTCACAGGAACTGGGGAGATGGCTCACTCAGTGAAGTGCCTGTCATGTAAGCATACGGACATGAGTTCAGATCCCCTGCATCTACATAAAAAGCTGGGCAGGATGGTGTGTGTCTGTTACCCTAACACAGGAAGGGGTAGAGGTGAATCCCTGGACCTTGCTGGCCATACAGTCTAGGGAATCCATGAACTCCAGTTTCAGTGACTTTGTCTCAAAAAATACAGTGGAACAGCAGTGAGATTGTTCAGCAGGCAAAAATACCTTCTGTTGGAAGCCTGAGGCCTGTGTTTTGAGCCCCAGAGCCCAGTGGAAGGACAGAACAGACTCCCCAAAGTTGTCCCCAAACTATACACGAGCTGCAGCATTGAGCATCTTATCCCACACATACATTATAGACACACACACTAATAGTAAGGTGGAGACAGATAGAGGAAAGATATCCCACACAGACCTCTACCACACACGTGCACATACACGAACAAGCACACACATATACTATACACATAAAAGAAAAAAAAAATCACACATACAAAACATTAAGAGTAACATCACCTAGTATTCACTTAGGCTTACTAGGTACCAGGTTGCAGCAACCCTACAACCTATGAGGTAAACACTATTATCAGGAAAAGTTATGTAACTTACCCAAAGTGACACAGGTAATAAAGATGGAAACTAGAATTCCAAGCATGGTCCCCTAATCACTAGGCCAAGATGCTTCCAGCTGGCAGTTTAAGACATAGGCAACCAGTGGAAAACAAATGGCAGCACTAATGATCA